GGTTTATGTGCCAAGGGTTTGCATGCCCCCTCATCCCTGTCTGCTTCAGTGGCTTGGCATGGGGTAGAGGTACAGGAGACCAGACACTTTCTGGACAGGGTCAATGTGCTAACAAATTGCTCACTTGTTCCCTGTGCTAGCTTGGTCTCATCTCTGTTTAACCTGAGGTCTCTTGTGTGCTCAGCTGAGCAGAGGTATCTGGACACAGGCTAATGTTTATTAGCAAGGTAGAGACTAAGCTGGAGGAGAAAGCAGAAAGATGCTTGGTAGGGAAAAGGACAAAAGGAATAAAGATGAAGATGAAAAAGGAAAGAAGGGATCGGGAAGGGAATTGAAGTATATGAGGAAAAGCAGGAAAATATGAAGGAAAGTCAAGGGACAAACAGCAAAACTGTAAATTAAGAAGAAAGATTAAATTGCCAAGTGGAAATGTTGCAGGCAAGCATGAGTCAGAGTGATGTAGAGAGAGAGAGGGGGTAGGGAAACAGGTGGGATACCTTGAGAGTAGGGAGGGAGGCAGAGCTCGAGTGGAGAGGTGTTCCCTGCCAGGCATCCCCCTGCTTCACCCCCTGCAGGGTGAACCCCACACATGCAGCTGGTGCCTCTATCCCATTTCTTACCGTGACAGCATTCCCAACATGCATCAGTATTGAGCTGTGTGATGTGGAGACAGTGCACGTGTCAATCCCCTCTCCTTCCAGAAGGGTTTCATATGGAGAGTTTCAAAGAAGAAAATCTGTAGCAAAGGAAGAAGTAAATTATTGTATATATTCAATTATCTTGACAGCTCACCGCTCAAATTCCATCACAGATCAGGAGTTTGTCTGATTTAGCATAGTTTAAGCTTCTGAACCTGTCCTTCCACTCGCCCACCCACACCAGAGACTGCAAAATACTTTAGTGGTGCCAGAAATGAGGTGTCATTTCCCTCAGAAGAGATGCATTCCACTCTGCTCCCTCTTGATAAAGGGAAAGGACTCACAACCAGCATCACCAGTGGGTTTTTTTTTTTCTTTCCCCCACATCCTAGACTTTGTCTGACTGCCTCTGGATGTTAAAGAAGCTAAGGTGTTTACAAACAAGACATGCTTTAAGCAGCCAAGAAAGAAGGGAGAACTAGATGAAGGATAGTCAGGACATGGGGGCTACCCTTGCCCATGGCTGCTACAAAGCAAGAACAAGGAACCTGGAAATCTCCTGGAGTTCAATAAATGACAACCATTTTGTACTAACTGTAATGATCTCTTGCTCTTGGTTTACAAACACTGAGCAAACACAGGGTTCTGCAGGGTTGCTGATGTGATAAGGTTTCGAGCACTGAGGGCTGAGTGCCTGCCTGAGATTCCAAATAAGCACAGTACACCTGACCCACCATTGCAAGATCTTTAGACACAGACACAGCAAATGTGAACCTCCTGACATAAATGTGCTGCTAGTTTCTGACTCCATATATGGCAGCAGGAGATCGGGTGCAGCCCAAACCCAGAGGAGGTTATGTGTCTAGGGTGTCCAGGCAGAGGGGAGCAGGGCTGGCTGGAGAATGATGATAACAAAAAAAACTGGGCTAACAATCCCTGAAATGCTGCAGATGCCTGGAGACTCCAGTAGAGTCGCTTAGAAATCCCATTTCATTAGAGGAAGGAGGCAACATTTGAATTTATCAGTTTTACATAAAATGTTTTGATTTTTTTCTTAATCAGTGGAGTTTCATTTCATCTTGGTCATCTGCATAGTATGGGTATGCTATCCTTGCACAAAGAGAAGTGTGAAGGTAGCTGATTTTAAGTCTGTCACTAGGAATGAAAAGGCAAGAACAAGACGCTCTAACACAAAAATACATTGGAATTGCATTGGAGTTGTTTTGGTTACAATTTGCGTGACTACAACAGACATAACTCATCCGTGGGGATTCAAGCATCCTGGATGTTCTCTGTTATTACAGCCAAGACCAGGAGGTCTCAGGAAGAACTGTAGGCAGAAGGGGTCTGTTCATCGAGCTGAAGCCCTGGGGCCTCCTAGGGCTGAGTTCATTTTTGTTAGAAGAGCTCTCTGAAAAATTTAGCAGTTGCCCTTTTCTAACCCATCTGAGGGAACAGCCTGGTGTTTTCACTGGCAGTGTGATTGTCTGTGCAGCTTTTTTTGTCTGGCTACACTGGAATGTAATCACAGCAAATCTGTGGCCACCGAGGGCTGCAGGAGGCTGGCTTGCTGCTGTCTGAACCACACAGTTGCAGCTAAGGCAGCATTTGTCTGGCACTGAAAGGACCCACAGTCACTACTCTGATGATTATTAATTTTCTAGTAACACATGGACTGTACCACATAGATGGCAAACTCATTCCAGCTAGGAGAGGGCAATGATGTGCACCTGGTTAAGGTTACTCCCATTGTAATGCTAGCAGCATGGCTGTAGCCACAAGAGGATAAGACTCAAATGGTTTGTAAACAGAGGTTCTATTTTAAAATTATTTTGCATGGTTAAGGCTAAGGAAAGATGTCACCTCTGTCCACTGATTTCCTGTCAGCCTGTGCTTTTCCCCTGCGTTTAGTTTCTGTGTGGGTCACCATGTTCTTCAGGACTTCTCATTTGGTTCCTTCTAGTTCAGAAAAGACCACTTTTTGGAGTTAAATGTATTTTGGGCTATTTGCTTACTTGGCATTTGACTCTGTTTCAGGTTGTTCTGCTACTTCTCAAAAGAATTTTTTTTTGCCTTCAGAGGCTGGATCTCAAACCAGTGCTCTAGTGGATGCTTTTTTTTCAGGAAAGTTCTGTGGGACTTCACCAAGCTTGGAGACCTTTACGTTTCTGTGCATACACCAACCTCCTGTAACAGACTGCAGCGTAGGGACTCCTTCAGCCATGAAGCTACCTCCACATATCACGTCTCTGTGCTGTGAAGAGCTCCTAGCTCATGTCCTAGGAGCAATACACCTATGTCTATAGGGTGTTTTGTCCATAACTGTAGTTCCAAAGTTTCAGCAGGTCTGTCTAATTCTGGATTAACAATATGTTGATGAGGCAATCTTGCTTTCTGCTTTTGGAGTAAAGTTGGTCAGTGTTTACTCAAGGCCCTTGGTTCTTTGAACCACACAGGTATGCCCTTTTTATGATGTCCTGTAGTCATGTCTATGCATTTATATTTGTGTGAATTCCTCTTTTCATTCCCACTTTGATCTGACTGGATCCTAAGCCTCTGTCTATCACTAATGCTATCTGCAGGCTAGTTGAACGTTGCTGCTTGATTTGAGGTGGGGTTTTTTTGGGTTACATTTTTTTGGGATGTGAATATTTTGATTATCTGCATGAAATCCCTTGTCTCTCCTTCTGCATATGTCTCTCCTTGGCATATGTGGAACTGACAGCTCCAGGGAGGTAAATGAATGCCACTGCATTTCAGAGGAAAAATTATTTCGTGCAATTACCCTAAAAGTGCATGAGAGAACAGAGTGAAAGGAATGAGAGAGAGAAAGAAAGAGAGCATGAGAGAGAATAATCACAACACTTCGACAGGTTTATCCTATCGTGTTTGAAAATCTATCACTCTGACAAGTCCCCTTTGTGCAAGGTGTAGACAGATAACCAGGCATTAGCTCTTCAAGGTCCTCTTGAGTGGAGGGTAATCAATAGAATGATCAGTGCACTGGTCTATTTCACTAAATGCATCTCCCTGATATTTTTTACAGACTGGATGTACCCCATTTGCGTCTTAATGTCTCACTTTGGCTCTCTCATTCACTTTTAAGTGGTTCCTGGGCAGACAGATCTGGGTCAATGTTAGGTGGACTTGTGGGTCTTTTGGTATAAATTATAACGTGTTTGTTCTGAGAAGGGGTGCAGTAACAAAAGGCTGTGTCCCCAGTCCCTCTCTGTCTCTTGAGCCTCGTTAAAAGACCAAGGAAAAGGGAGGTTTTGTAGCTTCATTATTCATGCCTGAGAAGAGATTCCGTGGAAGCAGTCCTTGTCCTGACTCTGCTGCTATTTCACCTGCCAACTCTGTTACCCGCTTGATCCCATCTGCACATTAAAGTCACCCATGGGAAGCTGGTGACAACAGCCCATGTCATCTTGGAGGCCTCATGCACCTATGTTGACAAAAACATTTAAAATTCCCCAAGTGGAAACTGCTGGCCAGGGTAAATGGTTAGTGTAATGGTTTCTCGCCGTGCTTTCAAAGAGGCAGGATATTTGCCCTACTGGTAAGGAGGGTAGTGCTGGGCTAAGGGATGCTGGGCCAGGTCACTTCTTGCCACCTGCACCTGCAGCTCTTGCAGCAAAGCCAATGCTTTAGTCACACCTATTAGCACTTTGAGGTTATTTGGACAGCATGTTGTTGGATTAGGGAAGCTGAGGTCTAGCATATATCCTAAAATTAGGCTTTTCCCCTTTTGGTTGGTGTCAGAAAGGAGTGATTCACAGCTATGGGGGAAGCCTCTTCACCTAGTCAAAGCAGTTACCACTGTAAGTAAGAGAGTTATTCAATAGGCAAGATAAAACAGGTTATCTGAAGCTGCCTCCAGGGACCGTATCCTGCAGTGTGAGATAAGGAGAACATGGGGAGCACCCCAATGTGCTGCAGGTAACACTCAACAAAACTGGCTGCGCAGCCCTCTTCTCCTGGCCTTGTGTGAAATGGCCACTCCACGTGCGTGCCCTCACCAGCAGCACATTCTTCTTGTCCGTGCATCTTCACGCAGCTCCTTCCCCTCCTGATGGTCACAGCAGGTACGCGTTATCACATCTCCTGGCCTACATCATGCACGCTCTCACTGCTCACTGTGTTTTCTGCCAGAGGAACTGTGGGCTCTGGTCTTGTTCCCAGAGGGCTCACAGACACTCCAGTTTTTCTTCCAAAAACTAAGACCTCATCCCCATGGCTTCCAGAAACTCTTCAATGAAGAAATGATAAATTTGTGGCTTAAGCCAAAGTTCTGGATTCTTTTAAACTTTCTTTTTCTCTCTTTCTCTTTCTCTCTCTTTCTCTTTCTTTCCTCTTCTGCAGGATGGTGGAGTACTCCCTGGATCTCCAAAACATTAACTTGTCTGCAATCCGCACTGTCCGTGTCCTGAGACCCCTGAAAGCTATCAACCGTGTGCCTAGTAAGTCGTGCTTCCCTGTCACATCTGCTCAGCTCAGCTTTTAGGGAGTACATGACCAATAAGGCTGCCTGTGGTGGTGTTCTCCAGGCAGGGTTCAGGTACAAACTGAGTGGAGGTTTCTGCAGGGTGTGTGCAGGCTTTTATACCCATCACAGGGCCAAGAGGTGTCATTGGATGGGCAGGAAAACAAGAGTTTCCCAGCATAACTGGTCATGGGTATTCTGTGCACAGCCGTTTTGATGGCACAGGAACTGATGTGCAGTAAAGGAAGGTGTTTTTTCTTCCCTTTACTGAAGGGCATTGCAGGTTTGATAATGTCTTCAGCCTCAAAAAGGGCTGTGTGAAAGGTCTGAAGAGGGATGAGCTTGGCGAAGCAGGAAGAATTGGTTTGCTCAAGCTTTCACATGGTTTTCCAGATCCTCTCCTCTGAAAAATTTTCATGCCATTACAGCTTAGGGTCGTGTAGTACTGACTGTTTTTTCTTTCCTCCTCACCTTGTGCTTTGCACTCCCTCTTTTGTGCCAACTATCCCCGCTGTGAGCTGGTGTGTGTATGAGCCAGGCTGAGCACTACTGGGAATGGGGAGCACTCAGGGCTGTGCCTGAGCCTGGATGTGTCAGCAGCCAAATTAATGCTCACCAGCACCATCCTGGTCTGACACACAGCCTTCAGTTCAGGTCTGCATCTAAACCAGAGAGGTGCTACAGCCCCAGGGCATGTGCCATGCATGTGCACTGCACCCACAGTGGAGATGGTACCTCCATAACCCTTGCATCTTCCCTTCCCAGGGGATGGGGACAAGACCACCCTCTTCACCATGCTTTGAAGTTTTTGGTGGTGTTGAACTTCTTCCCTCACCTTCCCTTCCTTTGCCTCTCCTTTTTTTTTCTTTTTCTCATCAATGTTGCTCTCCTTGCAACCCTGAAGCAAATAAGCAAGCATTGCTGTTGTTATTGAACTGCAGGAAATATGCAGGTGGCTCAGGTTTTGCAGTGGTTGTATCCAGGTGTATGGAAGTGAACTGGTAGACAGGTTGCATGCCGCTGGGATCAGGGGGTTGCAAGAGCACTGAACTCAGCCTGCTGTGTCATTGATGTTTCTGGCTGTTCCCTGTGCAAAGGCAGCAGCTCCCAGATGCAGCCTCATGAGACTTGAGGCATTTCTTCAGTCTTACAAAATGGTAGGAAGTGTCTTTGCTCTTCCCCACAATCTCCCGATCAGGTTGTATGCAGTGTCTAAGACCTTGCCAAAGCTCTCCTAATCCTTCTCTCAAGCTCAGATGTTCCTTTTTCTCTTCCAGTTTTGAGGGAGTTTGCACAATTGACCCAGTCTGCATCATATGCTTTTCCTTGTGCTGAAGTCACTTCCGTGATGACCCCTCTTTCCTGACCGTGTTGTGTAGGTGGATTTGATGGTCTCTGATTCCATGCAAAGCCTTTCTAGAACCATCTTGTCCCTCTTCCTAGGTATACTTTTGTCTCTGAGCAACAACTATGAAAAGAGGGTGCTGAAAGATGTGATGGAGAAAGTGAGGCACAGTCCTCTGTGCCCAACGTGGCAGAAGGATGTCAGTTAGAAGAGCAGCTAGTTGGGGCACTGAGAATGCACCCAGGAATGTAACAAGTCCATCATGGGGTGATAGGGATGGGAGTGAAGACAAGCTTTTGGCTATTGACTGTCAGCAAAACAATTCCCCCAGCCTGTCTCCATCTCTCCGGCCCTTCTTCAGAGGGGGGAGAGGACTGGGAGCCAGTCCTGGTAGTGGGTATGCACTGTAGTGTCAGGGGACACCCTTTCTGTGAGGGGGTGGGCTGGAGGTTGTGCATGGCAGGCTGGCCCCTTCCAGAAAGTGTATGGCCAGCTATGTGAGAGCAACACCATCCTCATGTTATGCAGTCTCCTTTCCTTCCTGCTTCATGAGGAGTCTCGTGAGTTTGTGCTCAAAGAATACTTTGAGACTGATCCCAATTACAGCATAAACTTAACCTTGGTAGAGAGTGGAAACATCCTGAATGACATCCAATTAACTCCTACAGGTGTCTGCCATTTAAATTGATGGACACTGGTGGTCAGGAGCAAAACCTGACTGACAGAAAGTTGAGGTCTTCTTTTATTTCTGTTTATCTCTTGGAACAGCTGGAGCTGCCCCAGGGAGGAGTAGTGTGAGCCCTGTCAGAACTGACCCACCAGAGATGCTTTCCATCATCTCTCCTGACCTTTGCAGAGCACAGGCCATTGAATTTCCCCTGGCTGTCCCTGCCATGACACTACCTGTCTGCTCCTTTTATCAGTATAAAACTTTACCTGTATGAAATTGATGCTGTTTTAATTTCCACTTTGTGGTTAAACATTTGTGTGTTTTTCTTGCTACATGAATCTCTGGTTATATGCAGAGAATGTTTCGGAAGACAGACAGCATGTCATTAATTAAAAAAGAAAAAAAAAGAAAGAAACTGGATTCCCTGGGAGAGGAAGCATTGACTTGAGGGCTGAAAACTGGCAAAGAGGCTGTAAACAAATGCTGGTGATAAATGGAACTGCGTTAGAAGAAGGTGCCTAGTGGGCTACAGCAAACATAATTAATGGGACCTTTGGCCACAAATCTTTTTTTAATGCCTTTTAAAGTTCTTCTTTATGGATCTGAAGGAAGAGGAAAGTCTATTAGTGAGATGTACTGATGATACCTAGCTGGAAGTGTTGCAGGTGCCAACAACGAAAGCAGGAAATCAGACATGAGGAGGTAGAGGGAGATTGAGGTCATGGTTGTGAGTGTGAGATATCTGGAGAGAGGGCCAGAGGGGTTAATCCCAAAGGCAGATATTCAGCCATGTCCAAAAGGCTGTGATAGGACAGTGTGGCCCAGTGTTCACCAGTGGCCATTTCAAAGGCTTCCATGTGGGCACACGAGTAGGGACCGATTTTCACAGAGAAGTCTGGCTGTGTGGACTGAATTATGCCAGATTATTATTAGGAGAATGGACAAAGTTATTAGGAACCTGACTGATTACAGTATGAGTGGAAGAATGCTCAAGTGTTTGTAAGGGTAGATTATTTAGCACCCAAAGAATAGTAGCACTCTACCAATCAGCCAGTGTTTGAAAAGTCTTTTCTCAATCAAGTGAGAAATTTCTGGAGAAATTTGAGAGAAATTTCATACTACATGACAGAAAAAAAATAGCAATGTCAGAAAATTAGAAGAGAGGAAATTCAGAAGGAATTTCTAAGGAAACAGTAGCAAACATGGTATAGGAAAAAGTGTAATCTATTAAATAAGTTAAATAAACTTATCCTAAACTCCTGGCATGTGGGCAAGGCTGAAATTTAAATGTCCAAATTGGATATGTCTAAATACTGCTTACCCATGCTCATTTCTTAACATGTTACTGGAAGTTCTTCCTTACAGTCAGACTTCTGAGGCTTTGAAACAACATTGCACAAGGAGCTGACAAATGCTATTTGTGTGTGCCATACTCATTACCTATGCTGTAAAGGATGCATAGACTCTCTGAATCATCACAGTAGAAGAAAAGGGCATCCAGTGTAACCAAAAGGTGGTAAATGTCCATTAAGAATGATGTTCTCCACCCAGTTCATAATTAGGCTGTAAAACTTGCTGCCTTTGGGAGTCCTTCCAGTCTCAAATCAACTCAGATGCACTGTGTAAGTAAAGGAAGCAAAATGGGATTTTCTGGGGGAAGTCCCATCCCTGAAAGTGTTCAATGCCAGGTTGGATGGGGCTTTGAGGTACTAGTGGAAGTTGTTCTTGTCCATGGCAGGGGGGCTGGAACTAGATGATTTTCAAGGTCCCTTCCAACCCAAACCATTCTATGATTCTATGAGAGCTCACATGGAGACTCTTCCAGATTTCAAACCTCCTTATGTCAGGGTTAGAGCTGACCTTTAGCTACTGGTTATAAGCAACTGATTGCCTTTTTTGCAATCCCCAGCAGGATGTGCTACTGACCATTGACAGATTTCCCTTCTGAATGAAGAAGCCTGGGGTTCTGCCCCACTTGATCATGTCATTTCCATTCTCATGTCATCTTTAAAGTGTACTAGAGAAAACCTGAGGAGCCCTAGTTTTGTAATATGTATCACACCTTCATTCATATTCCTTCTTATTTCTTGTATTCTTGATTACAACCCCAGGAACTCTGCATTTTGAGTTTGGTTTTTTTTTTGAAAATGTGCGTGTGTGTGTAATTAGAGATAGTTCTGGTCCTATTACCATGTGATTTGATTCCATGGCAGTGAGTTGGTGTGACAAGCCCCGCAAGTCACAGAAGAAGTGTAAAGAGATAAAAAATACCCTCCAGATCTTGTCAGGGGTAGTTGCTTTCTGCTCTGGGAATGTCTGTGTCCTAGTCTTGGGGTGAAATTCCACATCTATTTGTTGTTATTGTCATTTCCTGATTGTGTGTCAGGTTGCTAGGTGAAGCATTGCTGTTTGCACTAGCTCTTTCATTGTTTTTTCTCATGGCAAGGCACAAGATCTGGAGGGGGAGGCTGGTTTTGTTTTATTTCTGCCTGCTTTTGAGCTGGGAGTCAGTCAGTAGTCATTTCTGATAATTTGAATTTCTTGCACTTCTCTTATTAAGTTTTTTTGACATTGGAGCAGAAAACGTTTCTTCAGTTTATTCTTCCTTGTTGCATTGGCCTTATGCAAAGAAGAGCCCTTGCTTTATGTTTGATGTCTTCCAGTTTCCACTTATAATTTAGTAACTGATTCATCATTTGGAAGCAGATTATTTCAGCTGAGCACACTGTACGGAAGTGAACGAGTCTGTTGCAGTGTTGCATAGCAACTTTATTGAGTAGAAAGGGTATACATGTGCTAATACTCGGTGTGTAAGTGCAGTAATATGTATGTGGAGTTATAAGCATTAGAAATATATTGTCATATCCTTATTACTAGCTGTGCAGGAAATAGAATTTCAGATTTGTGGGAAGTTCCGCTTTTCCTAAATGTGATTTATTTTTAGCACAACAAAAATAATCTT